TCGCAGATAAGACAAATTGTTTTACTCCATCAAAATAGTTATCAGACCCATTAAACTTATGTTCCGTATTTTTGACATTACTGAACTATATCAATTATAGACTTATCAGTCATGGTAAGAAGACGAAAATAGCCAACAAAAACTCTTCAACGAACGAACTCTATATCAACAGAAACAAAACTGATATCAACAGAAATCAACAAAACTGTTCTGACCTGGCTGAGAAACTGAGGAACTAATCACACAGACTTGCCAGAAATAACAAGACGAAGCCGGGAAGGGTGATCGGAGCATTTTCCTCCGTCACACGCACCCACACGCGCCGGCGCGTGGATCTGACGCAGATGAAAAAGGGTGGCGTGTGAGACTCACGCGTTACTCTTCCGGTGACCAGACTTCAGGGAATGGTCGATCGGCAGACAAGGCTTCTTCCTAGGCAGGCGGTGAGAAAAATGGCCACTCTCCAGGGTGACTCACGAAAAATGCTCACTTGGGCAGAAGAGAAAAATAAAAACAACCTAGAATGGCCTTCTTATGTATTGCATTGACAAATTATACATCAATATATAGGAAAATAAAGAACTAATCTAGGAAATAAATAATCTAATCTAGGAAATAAAAAATCTAACTTTCTATTTTACAGATTTGTTCCTATTATGTATTGATTACAATCCTAATATCCTATTATAGATTTATTCACTTAATCATGCAATATCTGTAAGATTTTGCATGATTATCTACAACAATCTACAACAACTTCATCAACAGAGAGATTGTGGAAGAATTGAAAATTCCAATGGTGCAGACAAGGGCCTTCGGAGTGAGAGTTGGAGATGGGTATAACATGAGGTGCCAATGAGAGTGCCGTGAGGTTTGCTTGGAATTGCAAAATATCACTCTGGTTCAGAATTTCTTCCCTTCTGATATGAGCAACGTCGATGTTATTTTGGGATCGCATGGTTGGAAACACTAGGGAAACCACAACCGATTGGAAGAGATCAGTCATGAAGTTCAACATGTCCAGAGAAGTGGTGACTCTTGTCGGGGATCCGTCGCTATGTGAAACAATGGTATCGTTGAAAGGGATGCTTAAGAACATTGAAGACTGAGTGGCAAGGATATTTGGTTGAGTTCGGAAATCTATAGTTGCAGGAAGAAGGCAAGGTAGAGGAATATAGTTGTATTACAAAACTGTTGCAGGATCATAATGCTTTGTTTGAGCCTCTACTAGGGCTTCCACCCACTAGGGCCCATGATCACGCCATCAGACTTGAACCAGGTACGCTAGTCCCTAATATTCGTCTTTATTGATATCTGTATTATTAGAAAAATGAGATAGAAAAGATTGTAAGGGAGATGATGGTTTTTGGAATTATTAGATCTAGTGTCAGCCTATTTTCCAGTCCGGTATTACTAGTAAGGAAAAAAGATGAAGGATGACGTTTCTGTGTGGATTACCGGGCACTCAATAAGATCACTATCCCCCATAGGTTCCCCATCCTTACTATAGATGAGTTATTTGATGAATTGGGAGGATCTACCATATTCTCGAAATTAGATTTCAAATCAGGGTATCACCAGATAAGGGTTAGAAAGGAGGACACCCACAAGACTGCATTTCGAACTCACGAGGGGCATTACGAATCCCTTGTCATGCCCTTCGGATTATCAAACGCTCCAACCACCTTCCAAGCTCTTATGAATGACATCTTCAGATCCTACTTACGGAAGTTCATCCTAGTCTTTTTCGACGACATTCTGATCGATGGCTTGGATTTGGAGACACATTTGCAGCATCTACGAACTACCTTTCAAATCTTGATGAAACATCAGCTGGTGGTAAATAAGAAAAAATGCAAGTTTGCTTAGGTTCAATTGGAGTATTTAGGCCATATCATTTCAGCCTAGGGCATTACGGTTGATCCCTCCAAGATGGACTGTATTTTAAATTGGCCAATTCCAAAGGATGTCAAGGTGCTTCGTGGTTTTCTGGGACTGACTGGTTATTACAGAAAATTCGTAAACGGTTATGGAAAGATTGCACTACCTTTGACCGATCTCCTTTGCAAGGATGCCTTCCATTGGACAGAATCATCTCAGAAAGCATTTGAAGAACTTAAACAAGTCATTACCACGGTACCTGTCTTAGCAATGCCCAATTTCTCTAAGACACTTATCATTGAAACAGACGCATTAGGGCAAGGAATCGACGCTGTGCTAATGCAAGAGGGCAGACCGCTAGCATTCCTTAGTTAGGGGCTCTCTACACCGTCTCGATTGAGGTTAGTCTATGAAAGGGAACTGATGGCCATCATTTTAGCTGCCCAAAAATGGCGACACTATCTATTGGGTAGGCACTTCATCATTAGGACTGACCAACGCAGCCTACACTATTGGAATGAGCAGAGGTTGCAAGGAGAGGAACAACATAAATGAATTGTCAAGTTACTCGGTTTGGATTATGAGATACAGTATAAACCGGGGTTAGAAAACAAAACAGAAGATGACTTGTCCAGATGAGATGAAACAGCGGAGTACAACGCCATTTCCATATGCTACTTTGCTAACAGAGATGAATGAGAAGAGGCTATTTGGCAAGATGTCAAGCTCTGGAAGATCTGCCAAGATTTAATCACGGATCCTCAAAGTCATCCACATTTCAAGTTAGTTGGCCATCAATTGTACTACGATGATCGTGTAGTCCTTCCGAAATCTAGTTCACAAGTTCAGCAACTTCTACGGGAATTTCATTTCTCTCCCTTAGGGGGTCACTTGGGGTTTTTTCGGACCTACCAAAGACTAGCACATGTGGTTTATTGGGATGGGATGAAACAGGACATTCAAACATTTGTGAAAGCTTGCCCAACTTGTCAGCAGAATAAATATGAGGCCTTCCAACCTGTAGGACTGTTGCAACCGTTACCTATCCTTACCCAAGTATGGGAAGATATCTCCATGGACTTCATAATTAGCCTTCCAAGAACTCATCAGGTAGACACTATCTTAGTGGTGGTTGATCGCCTCACTAAATACAATCATTTGCTTCCCTTGAGGCATCCCTACATCGCTAGAGACGTAGCTATCCTATTCCTTAAGGAGGTGGTTAAATTACATGGGTTCCCTCGTACCATAGTTTCTGATCTAGACCGAGTCTTTGTGAGTATCTTTTGGGGAGAATTGTTCAAGCAATCTGGTGCACAGCTCCATATGAGTACTGCCTACCATGTACCATCCACAGTCTGATGGGCAAACGGAAGTTGTGAACCGATGTATGGAGACTTATTTGCGCTGCTTTGTGGGACTTTAACCGCAACATTGGCCTAAGTGCCTAGCATGGGCCGAATACTGGTTTAACACCACGTATAACCGTTCTTTGGGCATGACCCCCTTCCGAGCCTTATACAGTCGAGATCCGCCAGTTATCCTCAAATACAGTGAGAACAGTTTTGTTGTAGATGATGTCGATCGACAATTAACTGATAGAGACTCCATTTTGAAAGAATTAAAAGCCAACCTGGCTAAGGCTCAAGATAGCATGAAGAGTTATGTCGACGGGAAAAGACGAGAAGTTCATTATGCAGTGGGGGATTTTGTTTATTTGAAAATTCAGCCCTACCATCTCAAATCCTTGGCACGAAGAGTTAATGAGAAGCTTAGTCTTAGGTTTTACGGTCCCTATACGGTTGCGGAAAAGGTAGGTCCAGGTGTTTATAGGCTAAACCTTCCCCCTACAGCCCGCATTCATGACGTCTTCCATGTTTCATAGCTCAAGAAAGCCACATGCCATCCTATTCCTGCACAGCCCTTTCCAGATATCCTTGATCGTGATCTGACACTCAAAGTAGAGCCTGAGCAAGCCCTCAAAAAGCGACGTCTGTTAGATGACAGCTATGAAGTGTTAATTAAGTGGAAGACTTTACTCACCTGTGATAACATGTGGAAGCCTATGACATTATTTGTCGTCAATTTCCTTCTTTCCACCTTGAGGACAAAGTGGCACTCCTTGGGGAGGGTAATGATGGACACCTGGTCACCAAGTGGTATAACAGAAAAGGGGAAAAAGGGAAAGGGGAGGCATACCAAGGCGGGACAGATGGCAAGACAATTGGCAAGGAAGCAAATGGCACAATGAAGGCTCAACAAATGGCAATTATTGTTAAAGTTTGTTAAGAGGAGGGAATCTTGAGTAGGAATAAAAGGAGAGCAGGAGTGTAGGATAGATTATGGGAAATTAGTAGGGAATTGTATAGGAGGAATTGACCCACAAAGTTCAGTGCATTGCTGGGCCTATTTTCATTTTCTGTTTTGTTACGAATCCATTTCCTCTTAATACAATTTTATTCCAGTTTAGTATAGTGCTTGTGGTTGAATATTTGCTTTTACTTTTATTGTTTGTGTTTAAACGTGAGTCTGGGAGGCTGAATCTTCTGTTCCTTTCGAAGTAAACTATCCAAAAATAGCCATAATTGAACCTAAAACACTGAAGCTTCTTCTCTTGCCTAAAGCACTATGCTTCTCAACTAGCAGTGAGACACAAGAACTGGGAACTCCCTGCCCAACTTAGCTTTAGAATAAGAAGAATTCCATAATGGCAAGGCAACATGGTAGTGGAGATAGAGTTGATTATGCTTTCAACTTCCATTTTCCACATGTTGCATCATTGAGTAGCCCCTCATTTTATAATAATTTCTATATGATGTTTAAAGCAGTACTCCTTCTGTGACAGTATGTATACAACGTGTAATTAAATTTGTATGGCCCTTGGTGTACTGACCTTTTTCATTGTTGTCAATGCATATTGTCACGTAACTAGATTGAATATATTATAATCATTAATGTTGGGTTGTTTATATGGATTCAGTTTTGCTTCACATTTTCAGGCACTCTTCTTTTGATGCTTACATATTGATGTTTTTAATGACTCATTGTTTCCTGCAGTAAGATTCTGTATATTTATTTTGTCTCATTTTTTATTCTAATTCGCTGTGTGATTTTTCTAGAGTATATTACAAGCTGATTCTTCACTAAGGCGTTCTGATGAAGAAATTGCTCTTCTGGATTCCTATACATCAATAAAATCAAATCTTGTAAGTAATTTTTCTCTTTTGGGTTCTTTTGCAAGCACACTGGAGACTATTTGAAGTCTTGATGTTGGACATGACATGACCATCCTTGTGGTTTTTTGTCATGTAATCACATGCCTGTTATTTATATACATATCCAGAATGTATTTGTTGAAGAAAAAACATTTGTTAGTTCACCTCTCATTATCTTGATTCATTCTGGCTTGCATGATGGTATAAGAGTGCACTGCTGGTGCGATGGATATAGCACATGCTTCATTTTTTTATTGCTTTATCGCTGTTCTGAATCATGAGGCATTACTATTCTGCTATCTGCCTTAATCTACTCCAGTGTAGCCTGGATGGGAAAGGTTGTGATTATACGATTTGTTTTAATATAAACTTAGGGGTGAGTTTTGTAACAAATCGCGGTATTCTTTTAGAATCAATGATTTTTTTTTTTTTTTGGCTATTCTCAAACAACTTGCTATTGAATTCTACTTTTGCTGCACCATCGATTCAAGCTTGAGTCTAGCTCAAGCAATAATTCAAGTCTATTAGCTAAGCAACACTTTTGTGTTATTTATCAATGTAAATATTAGTATGCGCAGATCTAACGATATCAAATTTAGACTGAGTTTTTAATCAAACGGAAATTTTACAAAAACATAATTGATTTAATTATTTAGAGCTGTGAAACTCCTGTTTGGCTTAAATTGGCATTTGCAGCTCTATTAAAGTTTTAAAGAGAGATGTTAGAGCCTTTTAATTTCTAGAAAAGCTCTTGATATGTAGCTACCCTTTAGAGAGTGTTGTATAGATGTTTGATAGTTTAGTATTGGCCTCTGCTCTTTTTTTTTTTTTTTTCTTGGTGTGTGGTTGTGTGGGCAGGCCACCCTTTGGCATTTTGATTTTTATCCTCACTTAATTAGTTGAAGGCCATCATACTGATGGTCTCAATAAAGTAGGGTCCTGGATAGGGTAATGTGGATAGCTTGATGGTAAATAATACTAAATTTCAATTAGCATGGCTATTTGTCACATAATGGTTGCTACTAATGCATTTCATTTAAACAGATTTCTCATGATTTTAGTTATTTTTTATCTGTATAGCATTTTAAATAAAAATTTTACTTATCTTGCATCTATTCTTTTACTCTGAATCTGTTCTTCACTTATCATTCATTTACTTTCTTTAAAACGCACATGTAATATCGTTAGGTCATCAAGAGTGGAAAGAAACTCCAACGGAAGAGGGCACATTCCTCATGAAGATGAAAATGACAGCATATCGCTTCCATGCCCTCAATGTGGTATAGAAGTTGCATCTAATCTGTATGACTTCGTATCCTTCTAATTATGGTTTTGTCATGCACACGGTTTGTTTCCTCTGGCCAGCTGCTCAAGTTGCCTTTCATTTGCACTGCTATTGTTACAGTTAGAAATTATTTTTAAGACCATCATGTTTGCAAGTTAATGATCATATGCCACCTTCATGTTAAAATATGGCTAGTATGTCGTGTGCTGATACATATTTCTTTTGAGTTGCTTCCTCGTCCTTATTATAATGTTTTCTTTTTGGTCAAATTTTATATTTAACTGTTTATGACAACTTTCAGGTACTGAAGTTAGTGGGTTCCGCTGCAACCCGAACACAGTTCATTTGCAATGTCATGCAGTGGAGGGAATGATGCCTTCCAGAAATGATATTAATGTGCCACAACACTGTAAGTGTCAATTTCTGTGTGTTGTTTGCCTACTGTGTCTTCTATTTTAATATTTTTGAGTTGTAAAATCCCTTGAAAGCAGGTTGAGGATGATGTTGTGTAGTTCCCTTTCAAATTATTATTTAATTTGTGATGGTGCATGATTGGGTGAAAGTTCAAACTTATTGTACCATTTAATATACGAGTGGAATGAGTTTTTCAAAGTTCAAGCTTAGAACCAGGACTGTTCTTTAAACAAAGCATAGTCCTAAAGTGGAGCATTGATTGAAAAAGCACATTGGATTTGGAAAACGGGTCCATTCTTTTTTATTCCTTATTCTTATAATGTATATATGAGAGAAACACTTCCTTTTCAACCTCTCTCGCAGGTGTTGGATGTGATAGAGCGTTTTGTGGTGCTTACTGGCATGCTCAAGTGGTTAATAGAAGTGACATTCACCCTATGTGCAGTCATGATACTTTCAAACCTGTATGGGCTTCCTACGTGTGATTTATTTATTAATTTTTTTTTTTTTTTTTTTTTTCTGAGTTAATTGTTCTGTTATGCATTGACATAAAATTCAAAAAATATATTTGATCTGGTATAATTGTCTGGCAGCAGGGGTGGCTGGGAATGAACACCAAGACTTTTGGTTGTTAGGTAGTGTTGTTATTATTTATTTTTGTGTTTCTAATATCCAGATGAATTTGAAAATGAGCATACACAACAATCTTTTGTATTCAAAACTAAAGAATGCATTTGTTTTCATTTTCTAAATTGTATTTTCCTTTTTGATATGAAGTAAAGAGGAATTCACAAACCTCGTTTTTCATGTTGTCTGTTTTCATTTCTTAGTTATAAAATAGATTGTGTGTTTCCCTTTTGTCTTGGAAGAAGAAATGGTCTAGTGAATGGATATTACATTTTTCAAGACAAAACAAACAAAAAAGCTTTTGAAATGAAGATGAAAGGTGTTAATGAAAATATCCCTTTGTGAAATTTTAGTTTTCAATTTTGTTCAAAGCAATTTTTCTCATAGGCTGAAACGTCTTCTAGGAATCAGAAGAAGATTATCATTTCCCCTGTAATGATCATTTCTCTGTGCTTTTTTCCATTGGGCCTTAGCTTCAGTGTTTTCATTTTTTTTCCTATTAATGATCATTTTCTCGTAGTGCTGAAAAGTATTATGCAAACACGCTTCTTTTTCTTGGTATCTTTTTTATTGATTTTTAGTGAGATTATGATTTTTAGGATAAAATCTTGTAGAAGTACCATCTGACAGAATAAACAGAGGTATCATGCATGTCCATGCTTTTCCTTTTTCTACATTATTTGTCCATTCCTAAAATTTTCAACATGATGCAAGCTACAACCTCCAAGGAGATTGTACACTTTGTTTTTAATAGGATATGGAAATCTTTAATTCATTTCTCTGCCCTCCAGCAATAAACACTTCTTTTCTTCTGCCTATCTTCTATTCTTTTTATTTATTTCCTTTCCAACAAATAGTAGTTATTATGTAAAAGGATGGGGATCATATCACCTATTACTAGTGTCTGATGCAAGTGAACTTTGATGATGCTCCTCTTAGGAGTGTAGCAGCTTAGAGAATACTTCCTTGTGGTTGTATGTAGCATTTTGGTGAGAGGAACCATAGGTTTTATATGGTTGGGATCTTTTTAGCAATTTGAAGGCAAGATTGCTGAGGATGACACTATGGCTGACTTGTTTCGTGCTTTGAACTCTTCTGATAGATTCGTGATGTTTTTAGATTTTAGGTTGTAGAGTATTGCTAGACGGTTGTTAATATGGTTATCCTTGCCTTCGGAGAGTTTGTACAAGATCATCATGCTAATACTTACTGGAATGTTATCAAGTTCGGGTGATCTTGAGATGCAGTTATTTTTCTTATTTTCAGATCTCAGAACGTACTCTCTCTAGGATTCCATTCGTTGCACATGAATGAATCGGCATGAACAAGATGTATGAAATACTTCTAACAAAAATGTATAATCTGAACGTTGTTTTTTAAATGTTATTGATTGACATCCTAGTGGTTTTTTTCAGATCACAGAGAGGTGTATTAGACAAACTGGGAGAACATTGCAGGATGTTATATCTGATTGGATTGGGAAGTCAACAATAGAGAAATTGGTAAGTTGATGATAAGTTCTTTATCTTTGTTGATGATAGATTTTAATTCACTAAGGGTTAGGTTATTCAACAAAATTTTAATGCAATTGTGACACAATTCATGGCTATTTATCAATACATTCGAATAGACTTGAAATAGAGTTGGAGGTAGTAAATTTATCAACTAATAACTTCTCAATCACTGGATTACCTTAATCTAAACCATGATTTTTTTGACAATTGTATTAGAATGCTCGACTTTTCGAATAATTTCTCAAGTTTACTTCTCTAAACTTGTTGCAGATCGAACAAGGTTGCCTCTGAATCATGCAGAAGCGATAACTGCTGGGACACATACTTGCAAGTAGTTTTGTTGTTCCAAGGAACTTTCTGTAGATAAATCAAATTTTAACATGTAGTTACAGGTCTTCAATACTTATATCAAATGAATTGTCTCATTTTTCCAAGGGTCAGAATGGAAGCTCAATTTTTCTAGCATGTCACAGATGTTTTTATTAAATTTATGATACTTGTTGTTTTAATAAATGCATTCTGGATTTTTCCTTATTTCCTTTTTTTGTCCTTGTAATACTAAGATGTTAAGAATCCTTGTCAACATTTTATTGTGCAATTACTGTTTTGACAAGAAGTTCTATTGCTATTTCTGGTGTCATCAATTAAAGGTGTTTCTTGCTGATATTTCGTTTATATTATGCTTTTGCACTGGTGTTTTTGGTGTATAAGGAAGAAGTTGCTGTCTGTCAAATGACATTCTCTTGCTTTTATAACCTCAAAGGTCTTGTTTTTGTTGCTGCTATTAATTTAAATAGTGAAATGCTAAAATTGATCTGAATTCCTCTTTATTGTAGTGAGTGCTACGATAAATTGGTTTCATTTCTGCTGTACTGGTTCCGGATTACAACACCGAAATATGTAAGTTCCAGCATCAGCAGCTTTTGTTAAGACTCTTATTCTTGAAATGATTTTCAATCATTTTTCCATATGACAGTGCCTACCAGAGGATGCAAGGCAAAGGGAAGATTGCTGGTATGGACACGCATGTCGTACACAGCACCACAATGAAGAACATGCACGCAAAAGAAATCATGTTTGTCGTCCCACTAGAGGCACTCACTGAATTCTTCAGCTATCATGTTTATTTTTATTGGTGTTTGTATATTATGGCATCTAAGAAAGTGGTTTAAAACTTAGGTCAGACGGTCGTTTGTGTATACATCCAATAAATATATATATATTTTTCTAAAAATATAACAACAAAAAATGTATTATGAGTTTATTTTAAGTTGTCTAGTTTTAAATTATGAGTTTCATATATATATATATATATATTATTTACAAATGTAAAAGGTTTCAATTGTGATGTTATAACTTTCAAAATAATTTTTTTTGGTATCAAGTCTTATGTTATTGGTTTCACTTTCACATATTCAATCATAGTTTTCAAGTGTTGTTTATAGTTTTCATTCACGTCAAAAAGCTTCAGTTAATTTCAAGCCTAGCATTATTAGTATCAAGTCCATCAAATTTCAATTACAACGTCAGTAATTTCAAGTCAATCAATCTGAAAGTGGGATGTTATTATATTACATATACTATTCGAATTTACAAGTACTATTTATAGTTTTCAAATTCATGTTAAAAAGTACAAACTATTGCATTGTCTTTGTCCATTTCAAATATAGCATCATTTTATCAAGTCCCAGCTACAACCTTAGTAATTTCAAGTTTTATGTTATAATTTGAAATGCATGTTATAGGTTTCAAATCTATATTAAGAGTGATCTTGTTAATTTCAAATCTAAACTTCTTCGGATCAAGTTCAAATTTAATAATTACCGGTTTTATATTATAATATTCAAGTTTATAATATACACAATATAACTTCTATAAATTAATATAAATTAATAATTTATTAATTTATAGTGTGTTTACAATTCGATGAATATACATTTAATCAATTAAAAATTCATTGTATTTAACCAATCTAATCAATTGAATCTGAATTAATTAACTAAATATACATTACAGTATTAATTTAAATTCATTGTACTTAATTAAATAATATTCATTGTATATGATTTAATTAAATGTATTAGAGTGCATAATTTAATTTAATTGAATTAAATATAGTCATTGTACGTGATATCTTTAATGTATTCAACGAATTAGATTAAAAATAATTTTTATATAAACAAATACAAAGTCTTATTATATTTCATAATTACAATGACTTCCCATCTAAAAATCAACCATGACACATGAGATGCGTAAAGAATTATGCGAGTATAACATGCACTATAAACGAATTACAGCAATGAGTTTCTAAAAAATTTCACTTGAAACTTGGTCTAGGTACAATATCAAATACACTCATGAAAGATGTTGTCAACAAGATTGTTTTTATAGGTTACAATAACCTGATCACTCTCTTGCAACTTGAAGGAAAAAAACAAAGCCTTACGATTGTTGTTTGTTGTAAAGAGGATGGCTCATCGGATAGTATGCAAAACCACGTTGCTTCAAGAACAGCTTGAATTGTCAATACCCTACCAACAAAAGATCGTGGATGACTGGGGCGCTTTTTGAGGATTCTGTTCGATGGCTTTAAAAAAAAAAAAAAAACACGTGGGAGAAAAATTCTCTTGGTGAAACTTGAAAGATAATTGTCCACCCCATCCAAAAATTATTGAAGGATTACAGAATGTTGAACTATTTTTTTTGCCACCCAACATGACATAAAAAATCCAACCATGTGATGTGGGAATAATAAGAGCTTTCAAGATGCATTATCGTAGACGATTTTACCGTAGAATTTTGGAGGGCTATGAACTGGAGGAAACCAATCTAGAAAAAAAATAAATGTTTTGGATGCAATCAATCTTGCAGTCTCAGCTTGGACAATAAATGTTCAGGCAAAGAATATAGCAAATTGTTTTCGACATTGCAAAACTCGTTCTGTGGAAGAAATGGCCTCAGAGAACTTAAATGAATCCTTAGATGAAGAAGACATTCATGAACTGGTGACAATAATCAAAGATTTGGGTTATCGTGATAGAATGGATGTAAATTACCTCTTAGATTACCCTAGTGAAAATGATGCAAGTTCAGAGGTTTCAAGTTTAGAAGAAATCGTTGCTAACATCATTGAAAATCTTGCTACTGACAAAGTTAAGGATGATATAATAGATTTAGATTCTGTTACGCGCAAGGAAGTACTCAAAGCATTAACAACACCTTATAAATTTTTTATTGCAATTCAAGAATTCAACCCCAGAACTTCTAGATGCAATAAGAAAAATTAGAGTTGAGATCCAACAAGATTTAGATTTCAAGAAAAAACACATAACAATAGTCATATTTTAATAAAATATCATAGTCAATTAATAAATTATTTATTTATGATATGAATGTAACCACAAAGTTATATAAGGTTTTCCATAATAGTATTATTTTATTGAAATTATTAATTTAATCTATTAACCCAAGTTGGGACCGTAGTAAATTATTATATGATAGAGGCTATTAATTTATCGAGTATTAATTTATAGAGGTTAAACTATATGTTTCAGTCCCATGTTAAATGTTTCGAAGCTATTGTTATTGGTGGTAGACGGTAAAATCTACCTGGAAGTCCTTTGGATTTGATTGTGTGAAAAATGAGCCATTGATAATTTTGTAGACTTGCAACGACAAATAAGAGTGAATGCGAAGAACTTGGGGACATTGGTGTGGTGTCGGCCGTAGGCACTCCGATGTTCAAGTTAGCACAATTATGAGATATTTAGTAAGGCTGACAGTTAGAAAGAGTTTACCGAGAGTGTGAAGCTAGGGCGTAACTTATTGACGTAGAGTGGCTAGAAGTCGGCTCTACAACGATTACCAGTGTAGAGTGGTTGAAACTTGACTTTACAACGATGGTTCTTGAGAGCAAGAATTTAATAAGGTAGAGGGAGGGGTTGTGATTGCCTCCATAATGGGAGGACTGACCTCTGTTTATATAATGAGTCAAAGAAGCTTGAGTCTTTGTAGAACTAAGTGTTCTTACAATAAGAGTTTGAGTAAACATAAAACTCTAGTGCTAATCTATGTAAGAGTAGAAGTATTAGTTCAAACTTGTAGTGCTAGTTTAAAACAAAATACAAGAAATATTTAATATAGAATACAAAACTATTACCTTTTATTTGAAATAGAAAGAATTTAATATCCTTAACAAGAGACTTAAAACAACCAACATGCCATTATACAAAAGACATTTAGATTGAAACAAGTCACATGTCACTTGAAACATTTAACATAATAGAAATCGTAACAGTAAAATTGATACTATTAACATCAAATATGAAATGTTTTTAATTACACCTGAAATTAAAAGAGTTTGATTCTAAGAACAGAAATTCGAAACTTGCAACATTATACTTGAAACTTTTACAAAATTTTTAATAAATAATTTAAATTATTATTAATAAAATTATTTTCTTTATCTTAAGGAAATTAAAATTAAAATTACATATTATTTTCAATTGAAAAAAATATGCTACATGAAATCTTGAATGTTTTACTTGACACACATAACATAAAATATGAAATTATCAAAACTTGATACTAAGAGTTTCATATAATATATGACCTGAAAACCTTAACATGGAATGTAGCACTTAAAACCTAAAACAACTTATATAAGCTTTTAACATAAAACTTGAAAATAGTAACGTGAAACTTGAAACTAGTAGAACTTAGACATCAAAAACATTATTTTTGAAATTGACAATTCATCATTAGAAAGTTTTTAATCTCATGAACAGTATTGAAACTTAAAACAAATTACATGAAACTGTTAACCTTGTATTTAAAATAGAAGGAACAATAGACTTGAAACTGTCAACATGTCGTTAGAAACCTTTAAAATGATATTGAAGCCCATTAATACCACTTGAAACTTAGTATAACATCAATGAAAACTTGATACAAAAGACATTTAAATAGAAACAAGTAACATCTTACTTGAAACATTTAACATAGTTGAAATCTTAACAATAAAATTGATACTATTAATATCAAACATGCATTACACTTGAAATGAAAGGGTTTGATTCTAAAAACTGAAATTGGAAACTTACAACACTTTACTTGTAACTTTTACAAAATTATTAATACATAATTTAAATTGTTATCGAAAAAATAATTTCTTAATCGTAATTTTTTTTTAATTTATTATTTTGAATTAAAATTTAATTGAGAACGAAAAATAACCTATATGAAATCTTGAATGTTTTACTTAACATATGTAACATAAAACATGAAATTATCAAAACTTTATACTAAGAACCTTATACCTTTGATAATTCCAGGGGAATTGTCAATTGCTTAATTGGTCCTTTAATGTGGAATTGAGCACAAAGTTAACACTTGAAATCTAACACAAAATTCTTGAAAAGAATAACATTGAACTGAAAATTAGATAGGAAAAGCATCATATTTGAAATTAATAAATAGTAACATTTGAAACTTTGAATTTCACAGTTTTATATCTAATTTAAGTTAATTTCATATTTTTCTATTTTAAAAAATTAAATGAATTAATTTTGAAATATTGTTTAGTTTGATTTTTGGGACGACGGGTTAAAATTGTTTTGTTGCTGAATTTTGGCAATTACCGGTTGTCCCAGTTTGTTATATAAAATTATATATATATATAGATTGTAGCTTGTTTGAGCTGTGTCAATGATAATAACTCCGAATCAATTGACTGCTTAGCTGATAATAACTCCTTGGGAAGATTCTATCTCATTAATCTGGCGACATATGCTCTCTTCTTATCACTTACAAAACTCACGACAAAATCAACTGCCGTTCCCTGAATTATTCTCAGCCTTCACAACGTTGTCCCTTTTCCTACAAGTATCATTCCACCGCCAAATCCCTACCTTCCACTAATCCAATGCCACATAATCATCCTCTCTTGCACACTATATAAGTGGACTTTGGGAGCTCCGTTAATCTTCCATTTCCATAAGCTCACCAATAAATCCTTTTTTCAAAGATAGCATCAGGTGGCGTTTTAATGGAAAACAAACAAAATGGAGCTAAATATGCAGATGATAGAAGAAAATCAAAGGGCGGCTGGCTTTGGTGGCTGCCAGTTTTAGTCTTTGCTGCTATTGTTCTAACTATGAGTGTTCTCACTATATTAAAATTTGTTCATCACTTGAAGAGATCTCTAAGTCCTCATCGTCCTCAAAAAGTCATTCAAAAATATGCTGATGCTCTTGAAATCGCCATGCAATTCTTCGACGTACAGAAGTGTAATTACATATGTATATATATATATATTTGCATGAACTTAATTTCTCTATAGTACTGTTAAAGTCATTTTTTTCTATGTAATTAATGTCAGTTATTTTGTTTTGCAGCTGGAAAGTTGGTGAATAATAATATTGCATGGAGAGGGGACTCGGGTTTACTAGATGGGAGTCAAGAGAGTTTGGATCTATCAAAAGGGTTATATGACGCTGGTGATTTGATCAAGTTTGGATTTCCCATGGCTTTCACTGCAACAATGTTGTCATGGGGGATTCTTGAATATGGTAATCAGATGAATGCACTGAAACAACTTGGCCATGCCCAGGATTCACTTAAATGGATCACTGATTATCTTATCAATGCCCATCCATCTCCAAATGTGCTCTACATCCAGGTAATTAACACATTTGTTCTGGGTTTTAGTTTAACTTTCGAATTGAAATGTGCTTGGTGTTCTGGGTTTTAGTTTAAATTTTTGATTGTAATGTGCTTGGTGGTATGTAGGATTGCAGATTAGTTTTTTTATTATCCTTGCAAAAACAAGTTCTCATTTGAAATTTTTAAATTTTTTTTTTTCATTCTAAAATATTAGGAATCTAAAACTTCTCAACATCCAGGTAATTAAATCAACTGTTCAGGGTTTTAGTTTAAATTTGTAATTAAAACGTGCTTGTCGGTATAGAGTCGCAGATAAATGTTTTGTCAATTCAACAATGCCTGGAAATTTTACCTTGTTTTTGTATTATCATTGCAAAAACTAGTTCTCATTTGAAATTTTTAAAATTTTTGTTTCATTCTAAAATATTAAGATTCTAAGTTAATTTGAATGTTAACGGTATAATTTGCTAGGAGATATTTCTTTTCCTTTAGAAATTGACTGTTAATAGTTCAAGTTTTAGTACTTATTTGGTATTCGTTCTAGTATGGAGCATTTGGGGTTCAGTATTAATGGAACAATGTTCACTACTTTTGTATTTATGCAAAGTACAGAGATAGTACACATGCCCTTATTTGTCTTATGAAACATTTGTTATTAGTCTTTGAAGATCCTGTTGTAGTCAGCAAACTGGTTGCGTTTTGGCCCTTTTCCAGTTTCTGTAACTCTGTATTAAAGAACTGTCTCTAAATTGTAATGTGTTCCTATGTGGTGAAGGTTGGTGATGCTAAATCAGACCACGATTGTTGGGAAAGACCTGAAACAATGTCGGAAATGAGGCCTCTCACACAGGTTAATGCATCATTCCCAGGGACAGAGGTTGCAGCCGAAACCGCTGCAGCTATGGCATCAGCATCTCTTGTTTTCAAGAAGAGAAACGGCACTTATTCTGATCAGCTCCTTGTGCACGCACAACAACTTTTTACTTTCGCTGATACTTATAGAGGTTCTTACAGCATCAGTCTGCCTCAAGTCCAGGAGTACTACAACTCAACAGGCTATGGAGATGAACTCTTATGGGCAGCTGGTTGGCTCTATTATGCAACTGGAGATCACGCATATCTCAATTATGTAACTGAACTAAATGGGCAAGAATTTGCAAATTGGGGAAGTCCTACTTGGTTTAGTTGGGATGACAAGCATGCTGGAGTTCAGGTATATATTGTACATTTTAACAAGTACTTTTTATCTTTTGGGTATTTGCTAAAATGTTGTTGTCCAAATTTTGATCTTTTCTTATTTCAGATTTTGTTATCAAGGATAAATTTATTTGGTGCAAAAGAGGTCTCAGACACAGAGAATCTTGATATCCAGGTGTACAGGAAAACTGCTGAGGCTATTATGTGTAGACTTCTGCCTGATTCTCCTACAGCCACTTCCAGCAGAACTGACAGCAATATTCATAAATTCTTGGTATCATTTGATAATTATAAACTTGAATTCTAGTTTTTATTTTATTTTAAGACTGAATATAGTGTGGAAATCATACTTCCAAGGGACCATTCTGTGGCATATTGAGAAAAAGAATGTGTAGAAAATGGACCGTACAAGATTGGTAATAAAGTAGAATTTCTTGATTCTTTTTCATGATGAAACTTCTGATGATGTTCATTAAGAGAATGAGCAAAATAGCTAGACAGATATGCGATGCAGGTGGCCTAATTTAGCTTTATCAGCTGAATTTAAACTTTTGTGTTAATCTGTAGACATGTAACTTTGGAACTTTATCCTAATGCAGGTGGCCTAATTTGGATTGTACAGTATAACAGTCTTCAGCATGCTGTGGCTTCTGCATTCCTTGCTGTTCTTTACAGCGATTACATGCTTACTTCCCGCACTGAAACATTATATTGCAGTGGAAAATCCTACCTGCCGGATGATCTTCGCAATTTTGCCATTTCCCAGGTTTGTAATTTATTGACAATAAAACACTGTTGGTATGAGGCAATTTGAGTCTTCACCGAATTGCTAATTCTTTCAGGCAGACTATTTGTTGGGGGAAAATCCAATGAATATGAGCTATCTCGTTGGATTCGGAAGTAACTACCCTTTATACTTACACCACAGAGGATCTTCGATTCCAGCTTATGCTGATACTGGCTGTAAAGATGGGTTCAAGTGGCTTTACTCTAAAAATCCTAATCCGAATGTAGCTATGGGAGCATTTGTTGGCGGTCCTTTCCTAAATGAATCATATATAGATATTCGAAACAACTCGATGCAAGGCGAACCAACTACTTATAACAGTGCACTTCTCGTTGGCCTCCTCTCTGGCATAGTTACTACCTCTTCAGTGGTTAAATCATTCTAGATGATCAATATAGTCTAGTACCTCTGTACTAAATTAGAAAAGTGCCGCCTTTCTAGCTACTTTATTAGATAAAAGATTGAACTTGATTAATTGACATGGGGAAGAGCACTCACTCCCTATAAACATCACATCAAGAATAGAAGTTTTTGCCTTCACAGCCAGGAGTACACATTTTGCTTTATGTCCATGCTACTAGGCCCTGCTATTTCATATTTTAATGGTGCTTTTTGTTTACGTTTTAAGGTAAAAATGTAAGATGATGGGAATTACATCTCTGTTACTCGGGAAACACTGAATTTGACCACCACAAACTTCAAAAACTATCAAAGACCTCTCTTTCTCTATAACTCGGGAAATACTGACTTCAAAATCTATCAAAGACCCTTGCCATTAGATTTTGGTGTAACTGGCAATAAGGGGGAAAATCTACTATTCCACGTGCAAGGGAAAGATAAATGAAAAACTAGAGATGACAAAGGTCCCCGGTTTTCTGGGACCCGTCCCGTACGAGCTGGGGATTCCCCTTTTTTCGGGGATGGGGACAACCAACCCCCGCCCCCGCCCCATCCCCATTTTTATTTTTGAATTTATATTATTTTATTTAGGCCAAGCACTTTGCTGTGGCAGATCTTGAGGCCCAAATATAAATTTTGATATAAAATGGTTGATTATGATAGTTTTGTGATTGTTGAGAATTTTATTTAATAATTATTTTTATCCAAATACAAATTATAGAGAATTTTTTTTTTATTATTTATTAAGAGAATGTTTATTTTGAATTTGTTTAACTATGACAAGTTTCTTGTATATATATAAATTTCATGGCAGAATACTATTAATTATAATAACAAACAATCAAATCCATATAGAAGTATAGTTATATTTAGCCTATTTAAAATGAGTGGATTAAGCGTGGAGAGTTTATGGATTTGATTAATTCAAGTAGGATGAGTTAGTGGTATGAACGTGATTAGGGATTGATGTATAAATCATAATCTAGCCTTTTATTTTTAATTAGATGTATCAGTTGTACTTAATTCGGTAAAAGCAAAATAAGACATTTTGTAATACAATTAAGGCATTGATATTAAAAAGGTAAAAAAAAATTTCAATGAAGATTAATGAATTATGCCAACGCCATATCATTTGTAATAAAAATTAAAATTGAGATATTTATAATTTGAATGAATGTAGCATTATTTAAAGCAACAGAATGTTGATAAAATAAAAGAAGAAAAAATTAGGAAAGTTATGTTATAGAATACCATAAGAATTTGATTAATTACTGAATGAATTACGTATATATAAATATAAAAGTTTGATTAATTACTTATTTTTAAAAGATTCATGCTAAAAAATCATTTTTTGTTTTTTTATTGTGGGGGAGGGATGGGGCAAGATTGGGGGTTTAAAAATCCCCGTCGGGTCGAGCTGGGGGTTCCTTGCCAAAGCCATAACGGGGACGGGCCAAGGACGGGCTTGGGTCTTAGGGACGGGGAAAAGCCTGGGGAAAGGGGTCCCCACTCCCACTCCCACCCATTGCCATCTCTATGAAAAACTAATATGCTGATGAGTTATCCTAGATGTACAAAATAATTATACAAACTATTTCCTATAAACTTATGTGGTCATTCTGTATGTTTGAAATATCATTCACTCTAATTTGTTTAAATTATCTCTAATTTAAAATTATCCAATCACATTAAAACGCATTAGCTTGTATAAGCAGTTTGTATATATAATAGTATTTCATTGTTTATGAAGACATAAATAGTATTATCAATCTTGAGGCACAATGATTACAAAGATATTGTTGAAACCACAGCCAAACACACACAATAAAATGAAACATAAAAGTAAATAAGACACTTGATTTATCCTGGTTCGTTCCGATTAAGGAACCACATCTAGCTTTCAAATAGAGAACTTTGATTAAGTTTCAGAACTCTGCAACAATTACAATGAATAATGATGGTAGCTTACTCTCACTCTCTATTTTGATTATACCAGGTTTCTCACTATTACATAATATATATAATAGAAAACCCTACCTCATTTGGGCTTACCTGAATCTAACCCTATTCAGGCCTAAATATTAGTAAACTAATAACAAGTTCAATTATTAATTGGACTTACCCTGAAGGGGGCATGCCCCTCCCCCCGGTCCTTGGTGAGTGGGTGGCTGTCCTGCTCGCCGATGAGCGAATGGGGGTGAGGGGGCAGCGCAACAATGGGGTGAGAGGGCTCGTCGTCTGCTCACTGGGGAGCGAGACCCTCGAATGCGTCTGTGTGCAAATTATGAACCATATCCAACATATATGATATAATATACAATTAGTAAGTGCAGAAAATCAAATAAAGTTTTTGCATGTCACAAGGAATTGTTTGCAGTACTCTAAAGATTTATAAAGATTAACCATCATTAGGCATCCAAAATATGAATATAAAAAGTTATAAAAACTATGAATTAAAGAAATAGATACAAGCTTGTAACAGATGTTATTAATGGAGTTACAATCTTGTGCGGAATTTAAGGAAAATAAACATCATAGCAAGGTGAGACATATTTTTATTATACATTGTGACTCAAACTAATTGTCATAAAATTAAGATAATTAATAAGCTTTAAATAAATAAAAATTGAGGATTGAATATGGCCACAATAATAAATGTATAATTTGAAATAATAGTACGATAAATATGCTAAGAAAAGAATCCAATGAACATGAGCTATCTTTTTCAAGTCGGTTGACTCTAAACTTAAATTCCTAATAATCCAAATATAATGTAGGTATTTCAATGTAGTTAACTAATACTCCTCTTAATCAAAGGACTACCTATAGCATACAAAAATTAAATTGAAGAATTTTTATTATTTTTTCTTTAAGAATAAGATTGTATTTATGCCTCTTTTAACCTTAGGTATCTGAACTTAGATTTTAAGTATTTTTGTCAATTTATGTCCTCGTGTGGACACTTCAGAGTTTGTGTGGTTACAACGCATCTGACATATATTTTTTTCACAAAGCACATATCGCACTAGATTTGCAAAGAGGAAAATATATTCTCTTATAGGATATTTGTTGTGGTCCATTTACACTTGTCCTCATATAATTTGATGTACTAGAAAAGTTGTTTTGCTTTGTTTGTGGTCCCAAAGATTCTTTTCTAAAAAGCAAAACATAAAAGTTGAACTTTAACTTTTTTGTCCCCGAACCCTAGTCGCCTTGCTCACTATATATTCATATTTTTTTGGTGTCTTCCTTAATAAACCTAATTGCCTCTGATTCATCACTGAATATCCTCTGGGGTTTCCTAAGGTTTCTCATATACTTTGGTAGGTTTAAATCTTTGTTGTGACGATTCTGGAACATGATTCCATGTTGATGCTTGGACTGGTGCAAGCTACTGTTCCAAAGTTGATCATTCACTACTGAAACTTGAGAGGGGCTCAAGTACGACCTGGTGGTCTCGTGTATGAAGTTTGCTATGGTGGCTTGAAGTTCAACCGAAGAAGAGAAGATTGATGTGTTGAAAACAAGGAGTGTTTTGTAACTATGCTTTTCTTGCTTTGTATTTGAACTCATAAGTTTACATAGTGGATTTGCTTCTTCCGGACTTGGTCCCACGGATGTAGGCATGTTGCTGAATCATGTAAAAATGAGTGTGTTCTTTTCTTGCTTTGATAGATGTTTCATTTATGCTTTGAACAACTCTTGTGCACAATATGAATAATCAACCCATTCCGCATAAGTTTTAATCACTTGGTAACCTCTTTAAAACTTTCATAGATCATTTTGGACTAGCACTTTGTCCAAACCCGAGACTGGGCTTCGGGTTACAAATAATTACTTTCAAATATTATAAATCAATTAAGCCAATAAATTGCAGTCAAACAAAGACTAATTATATATAAAAGTGAAGAATTTTACTATTATCATTCGTCTTTGGACTGGATTAATCTATTGGGATAAGATTAGGGAATGGATTATATACAATGCCAACATTGTATTGTGTTTACGTAAGCACAAAACTATTGTAAAAAAAGTATTATGCTAAAATTAGAACTCAATCTGCCAAAACCAACATCAAACACATTCCAAAGAATCTAAATCACACACCAAAGAAGCAAGAACACACAATCAAGAACACCAAGGATTTTACCTTGGTTAACTTATTGCAAAATTGGGAATAAGCTATATCCACGTTGAGCTCCAAGAACTTTTGGGGCTCACTGCACTAAGAGATTAGAAGTTTACAGATTACAAGAACGAATCAACTCCAAATCTTTACACACTCAATCAATCCCCAAATTCTAACAGTAATCTTTAATCACAAGAGAAATCAAAACCTAGATTCTCTACCCTTGAAGGAAGCTTGACCTTCAACCCAAGATTACAGAAATCTAAAACTGATTACAAGAAATTTGGACTCAATTAGAAACCCTTACAGAGCACTATGTTGATTATAAAGAGAGAGTTGGAGAAAAGATACAAATCTGGAATTTTTGCCTCTTTTATAGCTTTGACTTTCTTGGACATATGGTAGCCATCAGATCTCTTTAACAAGCAAGGACCAAGATTAAAACTCTCACGTCCTCAAACGCCACTGTTTTTTAGCTTCATTTAACAAAAAGTACTATTATTCATCTCAAGTACTTATCCTAAATTTCACATCCAAAATGATGTGTCATCATATAGGCATTATCGTGTCATTTAATGGACCATCACTTTATTTACATGTCAATGCCACTTATGTTGTCATATCACTTGAGATATAAAATTTGAAATAAATTTTGAGAAGAATAGTATTATTGACTATAGAAATTATAAAAGAAAATATACATATTGTAATTACTTCTAAATCACTTTCTATTTTTTTTCAACAATTTGTGAGAACTAGCCCTTCTAAAAATATGTCTTCACAAGTCACAAAATGATCAATTGCATTTTCGTTGAGCATGAACATGATTAATTAGTTCATTCACATCAACCTTTAATTAATGTGGTATTATCAATACATATCTACCCATCACGTACGATATAAAGTTGGAATTTCAACTTTGAATACATCACATTATTGGAAAAATCGGAGTGGGATTGTTGCAAAAGAAATTCATGTAGGC